ATCAGTCCAGGTTCGAAAGTGAGAGACAGGGGCCGGCACTGTGGCACAGTGGGTTAGCACCCTGGCCTGGAGCACTGGCATCCCATATGGACACCGGTTCTAGTCCTGGCTGCTCCTCCTCCGATCCAGCTCTCTGCTATGGCCTGGGAAAGCAGTAGAAGATGGCCCAAGTGCTTGGGCCCCTGCACCCTTGTGGAAGACCCGGAGGAAGCTCCTGGCTCCTGGCTTCAGATCGGTGCTGGCTCCTGGCTTCAGATCGGTGCAGCATCTGGGGAGTAAACCAGCGGATGGAAGACCTCGCTCTCTGTCTCTACCTCTCTCTCTGTCTCTACCTCTCTCTATAACTCTGTCTTTCAAATAAATAAAATAAATCTTTTTAAAAAAATGAAAAATAAATGAGAGACACACTCAACGTGGTCCCTAGCTACAAGACCGGTGAACCCCCATTACCAACATTTGCTGTTGTTTTCCACACTGCTTCTTCTGGGGATAGGAACTTGACCTAACCCCGCCTTACTCTCATGTCAGCCCAAAGGTTCGGAGTGAGGCTGATGCCACCTAAAACTCCAGGGAAGAGCTCATGACTCAGACCTGACCAATCAAAGCCCCACATCCTCCTTCCACTTCCTGACGGTGGGCACATGACTATACTGGGCAATTGAAATCATAGAAAATCAGGCGGGTTTTTTAAAAAATTAATTAATTTTTCAAGGAATACAAATTTCATAAGTACAACTTTAGGAATATAGTGGTTCTTCCCACCATACCTGCTCTCCCACTCCACTCCCATCCCTCTTCCCCTTCCCAGTCCCATTCTCCATTAAGATTCGTTTTCAATTAGCTTTGTACACAGAAGATCAGCTCTGTACTATGTAAAGATTTCAGCAATTTGCACACACACACACTGTTTGAGAACTAGTTTTACAGTTAACTCTCATAATACAACTCATTGAGGACAGAGGTCCTGCATGGGGAGTTAGTGCACAGTGAGACTACCATTGTTAACAATTAACACTCTTATGTATGACGTCAGTGATCACCCGAGGCTCTTGACATGAGCTACCTAGACTGTGGAAGCCTTTAGAATCCACAAACTGTCAGTATTTAGACAAGGCCATAAGCAAAGTGCAAGTTCTCTCCTTTCTTTAGAGAAAAGTACATATGGGGGTTTTTGCTGCTGGGAGGCTGGTCTCAGACATGAAGATATAGGATATAGGGAGTGGGCAATTAGCCTAGCAATGAAGATGACTACATTTTTTTAAAGTTTGTTTTTTTTTTATTTGAGAGGTAGGGCTACAGACAGAGAGGGAGAGAAAGAGAGAGAGGTCTTCCATCTACTGATTCACTCCCCAGATGGCTACTACAGCTGGAGCTGAACCGATCCAAAGCCAGGAACCTGGAGCTTCTAGGTCTGTCATGTGGGTGCAGGGGCCCAAGGAGTTGGGCCATCTTCCACTGCTTTCCCAGGCCGTAGCAGAGAGTTGGATCAGATGAGAAGCAGCTGGGACACAAACTCACCCCCATATGGGATACCAGCGCCACAGAGAAAGGCTTAGCTCACTACACCTCAGTGCCAGCCCCAGATGTCCGTATCTCACATCAGAGTACTTGGGTTCCATTCCTGGCTCCAGCTCCTGATTTCAGCTTTCTGGTATTGTGGACCCTAGGAGGCAGCAGCAATGATTCAAAAAACTGGGTCTTGGCCGGCGCCACAGCTCACTAGGTTAATCCTCCGCCTGCAGCGCTGGCACACCGGGTTCTAGTCCCGGTCGGGGTGCTGGATTCTGTCCAGGTTGCTCCTCTTCCAGGCCAGCTCTCTGCTGTGGCCAGGGAGTGCAGTGGAGGATGGCCCAAGTGCTTGGGCCCTGCACCCCATGGGAGACCAGGAGAAGCACCTGGCTCCTGCCATCGGATCAGCGCGGTGCGCCGGCCGCAGCATGCTGGCCGCAGCGGCCATTGTGGGGTGAGCCAACGGCAAAGGAAGACCTTTCTCTCTGTCTCTCTCTCTCTCACTGTCCACTCTGCCTGTCAAAAACAAACAAATTGTCGCTCCCCCTCTTCATGGAGGAGCGACACTGAACCCTGCCTAGGCTTCATATCCGAGTCACGGCACCATTATGTCGCTCCCCCTCTTCGTGGAGGAGCAACACAGGACCCTGCGCTGTTCTTTCGTCTGCTCGGCCCTCCCCGGGTTTGCTGCTGGTTCTTCCCGGGTTGGCTACTGTCCCTTCCACCTCCGTGGAAGGGCGGTTCCCCCTGGCCACATTCCCCACTTCCGCAGGGGAGCGGCACACCGCCGGCCGGCTCTCTGGGGGGCTGCACAGGTGTTCCCTTAGATGTTCCCCTTAGATGTTCCTGGTGCATGCCGTCTCTCTCCTCCTTTATAGTCCTCTTCTGCCAATCCCAACTCGGCTGCCCACACGCCGAGCACGCTGCTCTCCAATCAGGAGCAAGTCCTACAGTTTATTGGTTGAACTGGAGGCAGCTGTGTAAAAGCTGTTTTCTCTCCCAGCGCCATATTGTGGGAGAGCAGATGCACAGAATAAGTCTTAATTCCAGTAACTTAGTCTAGTCCGAATTGCTCCCCACACAAATAAACAAAAAACCAAAATAAACAAACAAAAAAAAACTGGGTCTCTGCCACTCACTTGGGAGACATGGATTGATTGCATTCCGGTCCTAGCTCCTGCCTCTGCTTAGTCCTGTCTGTTATGGGTATTTGGAGAGTAAACCAGCTGGCAAAAGGAAGCTCTCTATGTCTATCTTTTAGGAAAAAAAAATGAACCAAAGAGATAGAATATAAAGCTGGCTGTTTGGTAAGCACCCTGGTGGCCCAGGCTTTTCGAGAATGTAGTTGACTTAGAGGGAAGTAGAATCGAGCGATGGAAAGAGAGAGATCATCCGGAAACCTAGACCCAACCACGAATCTGTGGATGCAGTCAGCTGAAGACGGACTACACTTGGAATTTTTACGTACACGAATCAATAAATTCTCTTTTTTGCCTAGATACTTGCAGCTGACTCTCAGTCACAGTTGAACGAGTTCTTATAACGAGAGACTGCTAGGAGTCTTCAAAAAGTCCGCAGAAAATGCACATTATGAAAAAACACTGCACGGATTTACTTTTTTTTTCTTTTGCATCGAAATACACTTGGAGTTGTATTCACTTTTCCGCGACCGTTTTGAAGTAGTCTCTGTAGCAATGGAGCTGGGACAGGCACGGCTTCGGCTTCACTTTGCTTCCTGCACTCTCCCTTTTGCTTGCTTGATGCTCTACGTGGATCAATCAAATCCTTCATTAAGCTCAAGCTCACCTGCTAGGACCTTGGGGGAGGTTGAGGGGTGGGGTTGGCTCTGCTTATTCCAGTATCTCTGATTTCAAGATGCCAGAGTTGTTTTGCTTGGGTTTTTACTGGTTCCATTTGGTGTGTGCTGGTAAATGTTTAACAAACACAGCCCCCACCCCCACCCCCACCCCAACACTTTATCTCTGATTTCAAGATGCCAGAGTTGTTTTGCTTGGGTTTTTACTGGTTCCATTTGGTGTGTGCTGGTAAATGTTTAACAAACACAGCCCCCACCCCCACCCCCACCCCAACACTTTGTAGAGTTCCCCGACTCCTGTGATATAAATATTCCTGCTATGGCTATTTCCAAGCCAGTGATACGATGTCGCGGATTGCAGGATGGGAAGAGAGAGAACTGTGTAGGTCGTACTTTCACACCACAGATCACCTCGAGAGACTATAGATAGTAGTAAAACATAGTAGATAATGAGGCCGGCGCCGCGGCTCACTAGGCTAATCCTCCACCTAGCGGCGCCGGCACACCGGGTTCTAGTCCCGGTCGGGGTGCCGGATTCTGTCCCGGTTGCCCCTCTTCCAGGCCAGCTCTCTGCTGTGGCCAGGGAGTGCAGTGGAAGATGGCCCAAGTGCTTGGGCCCTGCACCCCATGGGAGACCAGGATAAGTACCTGGCTCCTGCCTTCGGATAGGCGTGGTGCGCCGGCCATTGGAAGGTGAACCAACGGCAAAAAAGGCAGACCTTTCTCTCTGTCTCTCTCTCACTGTCCACTCTGCCTGTCAAAAAAAAAAAAAAAATAGTAGCTAATGAAAAAGTTCTATTTTGGAGGCTGGTGCTATGGTGCAATGGGTTAAATCCCCAGCCTGCAGTGCCAGCATCCCATATGAGTGCCAGTTAGAGTCCCGGCTGCTCTACTTCTGATCCAGCTCTCTGCTATGGCCTGGGAAAGCAGTAGAAGATGGCCCCAGTCCTTGGGCCCCTACACCCATGTGGGAGACCCGGAAGAAGCTCCTGGATCCTGGCTGTGGATCTGCCATGCACGTGGGAGCACTGGATGGAGCTCCGGACTCCTGGCTTTGGTCTGGCTCAGTCCCAGCTATTATGAGTATTTGAGAAGTGAACCAGCAAATGTGACGTCTCTGTTTGTGTCTATCTCTACCTTTGTCTCTCTGTCTCTGAAATAAGGAAAATAAATACATTTTAAAAAAGAAACTGGGGCATGCTTTATGGCAGTGGGTTAAGCTATTTCTTGGGATGTCTGTGTCACATATTAATGTGCTGGTTCAAGTCCTGGGTGCTCTGCTTCTGATTCAGTTTCCTGCTAAAGCATCCTGGGAGGCAACAAATGTTGGCTCAAGTGCTTGGGCCCCTGCCACTCACATGGGAGACCCGGATGGAGTTTCAGGCTCCTGGCTTTAGCCTGGCCCAGTCTTAGCTGTTGTTACCATTTGGGTAGAGAACTAGTGGCTGGAAGATAGCTCTCTTTCTCTCTCTCCCTAATTTTTGAGCAGATGCAAAGAAATAGATTTTTAAAAGGGGGGGGGGGAAGGGTTGTTGGAAATGGGATTTTAAACAGGTAAGCCTGTTTGGGTATAAAATTTTTAAAAAATGAATGTATTATTACCTAGCTGAACAGGATTTGTCACCTGGAGATATCTACAAATAGCCAAGAGATCACGGTCTTATTTTGTCAGCAGGTCCTGCCCCAAAGGAGGAGCTGTTAACCAGTGACCCCTGCTGAACAGGAGCCCTGTGTCAGCCCTGCTTCTACCGGGATCAGGTAGCACATCAACACTAGCATCGTGGGAGGAGCAGCTGCAGGGGCAACTCTTTCCGAAGGTGTGGACGCCACGGAGACAAGCAGAAATCCAGGTCTGACATTTCAGAGTCCCTTCACCTTCACTAGGCCTGAAGGTGCAAACAGGGGACGAAGGAGACCGATGACCAGAGCCTGGAGACAGAGAGGGCTGGTGGACTGGAGTGGCCAACAGGCCATGGGACCAATGGCCACAGAGAGGGACAACAGAAATCAATGCTGATCTCAAGTTCCCCCTTCCTCTGCTCTTCTATCCCAGCTCCCCATTGGCTGGACACACCAGAGGGCAAGCAGCCATTGATGTCAACCTCAGGGGCCACTGAGCAGCGAGACAGAGGTGGAAAAGTCAGATGATCTGGGAAAACCTTGCTTTAGAACCGCCATGGCCACCATCTCATCAGAGGCAGTCAGGGAGTGGTCAGCAACCCTTGTGAGGGGCAGGGCTGCTTGTGTGGGGGTGCTGCTTCTCTCCCAGGACAACACGCATCTTCCAGCCTCGCAGAGGTTCCTGGGATGATGAGAACGAGGAATGTGGAGCAGACCCTTGGCCGCGGTTCACATCCCGCAGCCAGGGTGATCACTCGGGACCATTCTGTCTCTGCCCAGCTGATCCCAGCCTTCTCTCTCAAGATTCTGCTGGGTCCCCTTCCATGAACCTTCATTTGGGGAGCTCTGGTGTGGGAGCTGAGAGATCTGGGGGGTGCGGCTCTGACACTAAGTCTTTGTGGGTTACTGGATCCTACCACTAACCTGAATTTTCTCATCTGCAATACCAGGGGCCTGGACTGGGTGATGGTGATCCCCAAGGACTCCTCTGACCGGGAGTGTCTAATCTATCGCAATGAGTTCAATGTCTTGGTCATTTGCATAATGAAAGCATGTCTTCCCACAGCCAGGAGGTGGCAGCAAAGCTCTGTTTTGAAGGGGGCTGTAGGCCATGGTAGACTGCTGTCTAGAGGCCCTAGAGCTCAAAGACCTGGTTTGGTGGCTAGATTTTACTTAATAATAATAGCAGTATTATTATTATTGCTGTTAGTAAAATAGCAGCAACAATCCACCTTCAACTTGGGCAGGGCTGCTTAGCTGAGGGAAGATTTTTGCACAGAATCACATGGGAACCTGGAACAACCCCGTCATGTGGGTGTGGGTGTGGGTGTGGGTGGGTAGCAGGACTCTCAGCCCCAGGATAAAGCTCAGACACATTTCCTGGCTCGCCCTAGGTCTTCTGGAAGGTATAGATTTGCCCAGACAGGAATCCAAGCTCTCGATTCCAGCCTCTACACCCGCTAGCTCAGGTTATGAGCCTCTCTCGCTATTTGGCAGGCGTCAGTGGGGCCCAGAGGTACCCCGCTGAAGAGCCCAAGGGCGAGGGTGTAAGGCTGCGATTTGACTTGTAGATCATGGGGAGGAGATCTTAGCACTCATCTGCACTCCCTTCTTTTTCTTCCAGTCTCCAGGAAGGAAAAGAGAAAAGAAAAGGGAAGGGTGAGGAAGGGGAAGGAAAGAGAAGAAAGGAAAGAAAAGATTCGTGGTTATAAATTCTTCTTCCTTTTTAAAATTTCATTTATTTGGAAGGCAGTGAGACAGACCAAGAGAGATTTTTTTCCATCCTCTGATTCACTCCTCAAATCCTTACAACAGCCAGAGCTGGGCCAGGTCAAAGCCAGCAGCAATCCAGAACTCAATCCAGGTCTCCCAGATATCACTGCTGGGTGTGGGCAGGTGCCTTCAGCTGGGTACCTCTGGGCCCCTCTGACTCCTGCAAAACAGCGAGTGAGGCAGAGGGGCCCTTGCCTGGGGTCTTCCATAGCATGAGCTGGGGAGAATAGAGGTTGAAGTCAAGAGAGCTTGGGTTCCTGTCTGGACACATCCATACCTTCCAGAGTCCCAGCTACTGCAGCCATCACCTACTACCCCCCAGGGTGTCCATCAGCAGGAATCAGAATTGGAAGCCAAGTTGCTGGGACTCGAAGCAGGCAGCCTGATACGGAATGCAGGGGTCCCTGGAGTGACTTAGCCACTGCACCAAATGCCCACCCCAGTTATTCAGTTCTCATCAGAACATATCTGGGCCTAGGCTTGAAAGACTCATCCATTCATTCCTTCATTCAATAATCAGAATTCTGATGAGGTGTCAGACACAGTTTGGGGCAGGCCTTTGGTGCAGTGGTTAAGACAACACTCGGATGCCTGCATCCTGTAACAGGGTGCCTGGACTTGAGTCCTGGCTCTGCTGCTCACGTGCACCCTGGGAGGCAGCAGGTGACGACTCCGATACCTGGGTCCCTGACCCCCTTGTGGGAGACCCAATTGGGTTCCAGGCTCCTGGCTTGGGCTGTGGCAGGCATTTGAGAAGTGAACCAGTCCATGAAAGGTCTCCTCTCTCTGCCTTTCAAATAAAACTAAAAAACTAAACAAACAAAAACAACCACCCAAACAATTGAATAAAAAAGACATAGTTGTGCACTGTGAACGATATAGGAATGTTCTTTGTCTCAGAAATCTGGTGTCAAGAGCTGGGGTATGGGATATACTTGGGGGTGCTTTCTTCCTAGGGAGGCCCAGCTAAACTGGAGAAGATGGAATTCAGGTCTGGTTTTGTGGGCACATCAGGGATTCCTGAATTGTCTTTGATGACCCCTAATTGTGTGGTGTGTTAATTCCTCCAGCTAGAGGAAACCCTTTAGAGACACAATTGAAGCCCCAAACTGTTATTGGCATGCCTATCTTGCACTCCACCCACCGCCCCCAGTGGGGGTGGGGGGGTCACCTCTCCACCCTCCCCATCATAATAACTGGGTTAGCAGAGGGCGCACTGCACTGCGTGCTAGGCTCTAGGCCAGCGGGGCTTCTTATCGCCTACCCTTCTTTATTTCTCAAAACCATCCAGTAAGTTGCTATACCTGTGAGGAAAGAGATCAAACTCATGCGATAACTTGCCCAAGGTCACAGAGGTAGTGAGTGGTAGGGCAGGACGGGGACTGTGGCAGAGTGGGACCCACAGAGCTCTTAGCACTGCGGCACACACCGATGTCCAGCAGTGGGGGGACCCGCATAAGGCTCCGGAACAGCTGCAGTCTCCACTCCTTCTCAGAACATCGGGCAAGTCGTCACTTGCCAGCCACACTTTCTGATAATGAGAGTCTTGATACCTGCCTGCTCAGACAGGCTTGTTGGAGTCTGGAATGGGAAAGAGAAAAAAATAAAAAAAAGGAGCTGGAAGCACTGAGCATCATACACAATTGCTCTGTGCTTGAAGTAACGTTACTGCTCGCATTGCGAGCTGATGGGAGGGCAGGAGTGCTGGCCTCGGGCCTGGGACCTGGCGCACATGGAGGACTGTTGCTTCCCTCTCCTGACCTCTGGTTCCTTGACTTTAAAACTGAGGACATTGAAAAGATCACTTATTCCTGTTAAGTTTTTAAAAATTGCCGGCGCTGCGGCTCACTAGGCTAATCCTCTGCCTTGCGGTGCCAGCACACCGGGTTCTAGTCCCGGTCGGGGCGCCGGATTCTGTCCCGGTTGCCCCTCTTCCAGGCCAGCTCTCTGCTGTGGCCAGGGAGTGCAGTGGAGGATGGCCCAAGTGCTTGGGCCCTGCACCCCATGGGAGACCAGGAGGAGCACCTGGCTCCTGCCATCGGATCAGCGCGGTGCGCTGGCTGCAGCAGCCATTGGGGGGTGAACCAACGGCAAAGGAAGACCTTTCTCTCTGTCTCTCACTGTCCACTCTGTCAAAAAAAAAAAAAATTATATATTTGAGAAACAGAGAGGGGGCTGGCTCTTATGTACTGGTTCACGTCCCATATGCCTAGGACTAGGATGGGCTGAAGCCAGGAGCTGGGAACTCAGTCCAGGCCTACAACGTAGGTGGCAGAAACCCAACTACCTGAGCCTTTACTGTTGACTCTCAGGGTGAGCAGAAAGCTGGAATCGGGAGCTGGATCCAGTACAGAAAACAGGTACCCTCGGGGCCAGCACTGTGGCGCGGCGGGTTAATGCCCTGGCCTGAAGTGCTGGCATCTCATATGGGTGCCGGTTCTAGTCCCGGCTGCTCCACTTCCAATCCAGCTCTCTGCTGTGGCCTGGGAAAGCAGTAGAAGATGATCCAAGTCCTTGGGCCCCTGCACCCACGTGGGAGACCCGGAAGAAGCTCCTGGCTATCTGGGGAGTGAACCAGCAGATGGAAGACCTCTCTGTCTCTACCTCTCTCTGTAACTCTTTCAAATAAATAAAATAAATATTTTAAAAAAAGGTACCCTGAAGTGAGGTATAGCTGTCTTCACTCTAAGCTAGATGCCCACTTGGTAAAGATCATAATTAATGGACTCTTTCGGTGGTGATGGCGATCATGACGCTGGCTGTGGGGAGGATGATGATGGTGGTGATGTTAGAGGGATGTGACTCAGGACCATTTTCTGCCACCATCACTACTCACTCCATCACTCTCACCTTCTATGTCCACTGTGTCAGAGGCATTTGATGAGATGGAGAGGAGGGCCTGATGGCCAGAGAGAAGGGGTGATCCAATGTGGTAGAGAATGGTGTGTGCTTATCTTAGAGCCTGGTATGCATCGGGCCAATACTTTTCTAACAGTTTCATTGTATTGTAGTTCCATACCATACAGTCCATTCATGTAAAGCGTAAACTTCAATGGCTTTTAATACATTCCCAGAGTTTTGTAGCTATCAAAACAATTTTAGGAAATTTTGATTACCCAAAAGGAAACTCACATTGAGATGCCATCCCTCTCAGTGGAGCTGGGATTTTTATTGTTGTCTCCACCTGATGGAACAGGGAAATTGAGGTGCAGAGAGGAGAATAACTGTCCCCAGCATTCACAGCTGGGAGGTGACAGCACCAAGATTCTACCCAACTTTGCCAGAATCCTGGGCCCACTCCTAATCTATCCATAACGGTCCTTATTCCATCTTGTGTGTGCCTTCACGGTGAGCAAATCGACATAGTCAGGATCCGTGGGCTCAGGATCCAGGGGAGACCTGAACCTAGCAGCGGCTTCCTCTTTGGTGGGGAGGGAATGAGGACAGTGCTTGGGCCTGGGCTCAGCCTGGACTTTTAAAGTTAATGGCTCCCTGGTCCCAGGGCTCCTTCTCCTCTTGGTCCTGGGTACCATGAGGAAGATCCATGCAGAGGGAGAGGAGTTACCCCAGCTGGAAGGAGGAGCAGGGTGGGATAGCTGGGCCCCATCCAGTCTTCTCCAAAGCATCTGTTTTCCCAGGAGAAGATGAATTTGACAGTATCGACTACCTGCTCAGATGTCATGGGAGCTATGGGTGCCTCAGAGAATCGTATGGCACAGCCCCTAAGAGGGATGGGAGGCAAAGGCACTGGCCTAGGCGTCTAAGACTTCCAGGGTCAACTATAGTCAGAATGCTTGATTCACCCAGGCCTCGATGTTTTGTATGCAAATTTAGGGAGAAAATAGGAAATGGAACTTTCAAGAATTATGAGTTCCTAGGAAGAAGGTGTGCTGGAAGTTATCTGAAAGGGCCTTTACCTACCTAGTTTCCTATCTTCCTCCCTCCCTTCCACTCTCCCTCCCCTCTTCCTTCCCTCCCTCCATGTCTAAGCATCTATGTCTTCTCAGCTTCAGTGAGGTATAATCAACAAGCAGCAACTGTACACATACATACAAAGTGTATAGCTTGCTGTTCTCATATCAGTACACATGATACGTAACTAACTGTGGCCCCACACCATGCATTAGGCCTTCACAACTCACTCATCTTGCATCACTGGAAGTTTGCGTTCTAGGATCAACGCTTCCCCCAACTTCCAGCCCCTGGCCACCACCGGCCTGTCCTCTGCTTCTGTGAGTTTGACTGTGTTGAATTCTGCAAGCGTGTGTAAGTGAGATCGGGTGAGTTTGTCAATGTGTGTGTGTCTGGCTTATTTCACTTAACACAGCATCCTCCAGCTGTGACCGTGCTGTCACAAATGGCAGGATTTCTGCTTTTTAAGGCTGCATAGCGTTCCACTATATAATTACACACCATATTGTCTTTACCCATTCACTCACTGATGGACATTTAGGTTGATTCTCCAACTTGGCTATTGTGAGTAGTTTGCAATGAACCTAAGAGTGAGGCTCTCTCTTCAACGTGTGATTTCATTTCCTTTGGATATATGCTCAGAAGTGGGATTGCTGGATTACGGGGTCGTTCTCCTTTGAATTTCCCAAGTCTGTTCACACTGTCTTCCTTAATGATGGTGTCCATTTACATTCCTACCAAGAGTGAACAGCAGCTCCCTTTTCTCCATGTCGTCACCAAATCTTACCATTTGTCTTTTGGGTAATGGCTATCCTCACGGGTATGGGGTAACCAATGTTTACCCAGTGATTTCTCTCTCTTGGATTTTCACCTTTCTATGGGGCAAGGAGGCTCCACTTTCCCCTTTCTTATGCCGTCTTGTGTTTACAATAGAACAGGCAAGAATCTAAAAATCAACCCCACGAAGAGAAACGGACCGCGACAATAAATACAGCGGAGCCAGGACTCGCAGCATTTAGGAGGATTTATTTCTCACACAGTTCCCTCCTCTCTCCTGCAGGTGTCCCATGGCAATGAGCTCAGGAGGGCCTCATTCTTCCATCTTCTGTGAGAGAAAAAAAATCATACACAGGAAATGAGCGCCATGGATGGAGGGGCTGGGCGTTACCTTCAAGTGCAGCAGCCCAGGGTCCGGAACTTCCGAAAAACGTTAAGGATGGTATTGTGTCCCTTTGTGCCGTGTCCACACAAGCCAAAGGCCAGGCGCTGGGGACAGGACCAAGTCCCTGAAAAGCAGGGATTTCCTGAACACCGTGTACAGCCACAGGAGAGGCAGAGGTCACACGTCTGCGCCTCCCATGTCTCTCTGCTCCTTCTCCGAGAGCCTATAGCCACGGGGCTCTCGCTCAGCTCATACCCTCCACGCTCTCCCAGCACAGTGTCTGGGCTACCCTGGGTCTTCCTCCCAGGGAGCCGCGCTTACCTGGCCCCCCACGTCTCGGCTCTTGGCCCTGAGCTTGTTGACCTGGGACTCGGCAATGTCGGCCCTCTCCTCCGCCTCCTCCAGCTCGTGCTGCACTCTGCGGCATCTGGACAGCTGCGTGTTGGCCTGCTCCTCCTGAATAGAAGGAGGAGGCGGGGTGAGGCTTCGGGTCCCTTGGCGTGACTCGGAGAAACTGGGGAGGTGGGCGGCCAGGAGAGGGCAGGCCTGGGATTCCCTGGCAGCAGAGTGGAGGTGGGCTGAGTTTTGAGTGTGAGAACGTGGCCTTGAATGCTGTCTGGGATCACTTGGCCCCTCCTGGAACCCCCCTCTTCATGCTCCCCTGTACCCCTCATCTATGCTCTCTGTCCCTCAGAGCTTTTTGCAGGGCATCCAAGAGTTCCAGAGTTCTCCCAAGGTCTCTAAATGTGTCAGAGACCAATGGCCCGAGGCCCCTTGTCCTGTGCCTCTGCCCAGTACCGCCTGTCCAAGGTTAGGCCATTGTACAAGTCAAGGGGTCCTGGCTAAGTTGGCCTCTTGATCAGCTGACCAGGCTCCTAGGCACGCTGGAGAGAGGGCCACCAAGAAGTCACATGCTCGGTCCCTTGTCAAGGGCAGAGAGGGTCTCCGAATTTTATTCCTTAGAAAAATAGTTCTGTGAGAGGCTTTGCATACAGTGAGAAGGTGCCCAGTCCATTGAGTGTGGGAAATGCTATGTTCTAGAATGCCTTTTTTGTTGTTGTTGTTGACAGGAGAGTTAGACAGTGAGAGAGAGAGAGAGACAGAGAGAAAGGTCTTCCTTCCGTTGGTTCACCCCCTAAATGGCCGCTATGGCTGGCACGCTGCGCCGATCCGAAGCCAGGAGCCAGGTGCTTTTCCTGGTCTCCCCTGGGGTGCAGGGCCCAAGCACTTGGGCCATCCTCCACTGCCCTCCCGGGCCACAGCAGAGAGCTGGACTAGAGGAGGAGCAACCGGGACAGAATCCAGCGCCCCAACCGGGACTAGAACCCAGGGTGCTGGTGCCGCAGGTGGAGGATTAGCCTAGTGAGCCACGGCACCAGCCTTTAGAATGCCTCTTAACACAATACCTACAGAAACTGAGAGCTCATTGAAACAAAGCATGCAGTTCAATTCTGTGTAACCTAGAGTTTCCCAGATGATTTGTCTTTTTAAAAAATTTTTTTATTTATCTACTTGATTTGAGAGATGAAGAGCTCTCATCTGCTGGTTCACTTCCCAAATGCCTGCAGCCTCCAGGGCTGGACCAGGCCTAAGCCAGGAGCCAGGAACTCCATCTGGGTCTCCTATGTTGGTGGCAGGGGCCCAAGCGCCTAAGCCAACATCTGCTGCCTCCCAGGGTGCACACTAGCAGAAATTCAGAATCCAGATTGACACTAGAATTTGAACCCAGCTGCTTCCAATGGGGTGCTGGTGTCTCAGGCAGTATTTTAATCACGGCATCAAACATCTCTTTTCTATAAAATAGAAAGCCTCCCCTTCCACCACCTTGACTTCCTGCTGTTCGCACCCCTCAGATCCAGGCCCCCTGCAGAGTTTCTGTCGGGGAACATGGGTTCCAGACCATTCCATTTCCTCCCTGTCCATTTCACCCATTGGATCAAGGGCAGATCAACAGGAGGGAGTGGGGTGGTGGGAGTAGAAGTGTGTGGTGGGGACCAGGGAGAGTGGGGTGAGGGGGATGATGCCAATTGGGATGGGATGTCCCAGAGCAGGACGCGAGGGCAGGGAGAGTTGGTTGGGTGGGCAGGGATGGCGAGGGAGCGGCAAGGTAAGTGCAGGATGGGCTCAGTGACATACTCTGGGATGAGTAGGGAGAGTCAGGGTAGAATGAAGAGGATGGAGGTATCTGGGCCAGGTGGGGCGCAAAGGTAGTAGAAGTAGGGACCAGGGGAGGGACCAGCCTGTGTTCATGGTTTGCAAATGCAAACTGAGGCCCTAGACCCCAGGCGCTCCCTGACCCAGGTAGCTGTGAGCACTCTGGGGGTGCCCCATACTCACCGCCTCCTCAGCCTGCCTCTTATAGGACTTGACCTTGGCCTGCAGCTTGTCCACCAGGTCCTGGAGCCTGAGGAAATTCTTGCGGTCCTCCTCAGCCTGCAAACAGAGTGTCGGTGGCAGGGGTCCGCCGCCCCAGCGGAGGAAGCTGGGGCTTTCCCACGCCACACCTGCTGGGTTTGTTGGCGAGACCTCTACCTGGTACGTCATTTCCTTGACTTTGCGTTCATACTTGTGGGCCCCCTTCAGAGCCTCTGCTCCCCTCTTCTGCTCCGCGTCCAGCTCGGTTTCCAGCTCCCGTACCTGCTTGGGGACAAGAAGACACAGAAGTCAGGGCAGATCCCTGGGGCTTCTCTCGTGGACTTGTGTGCCAGGCATTGTAGAGTGAACTCAAGATCAGTTTCCTTGAATTATAGTCTGCAGAAGTGTCTCAGCCTAGGGTGTAGGAGCCACATTTTATCTGCAGGGCCACTGCTAGCCCACGCGGCAGAAGCCTTGTGCTAGAACAAGGCATCCTCTTCGGGCAGAAGCAGGGTCAGGTACACGGAGCTTAACTGCTGGGTCCAGCTTGTGGAAGACGAGCCTTCCTCCAGCTGTGCGGGCTGTCAAGGGCAGTGTCGGCAGGACTTGAGCCCCAGCTTGTCCCTGCAGGTGAACCTTGCACAAGTGCTCACGGTGGCCCAGTTCCTGATAAAGTCAGGCAGCAGGAGGTGTGCAGAGGACCCGGACCAGGAGCAGACAGAGTAGACCAGGCCCCGCTGACAGGTCTGAAGTAAGTCAGTAGCCATCCCTGAGCACGACTTTCTATGCCAAGGCAAATCAAACAGTTCATGGAAAAGTGGGATTCAACGGTAAGTTAATTTTGGTGCAAAAAAAAAAAAAATTTGAAATCCATGCATAGCTTTTAATAATGTGCATTTTCCATGAACTTTCTGAAGTCTTTGTGTATGTTTAGGATGGCGTTTAATTCCTTGCACAGAAATTGTCCTGCTACAAACATGGGACAAAATTAGGCAAAGTACCTGGAAGCATTTTGAGGAGGAGCAAGTGCTACACAGGCGGTGTGAATTTCAGAGTTGTGTCTGTGTTTCCCAGAGTCTTTAGGGGAGACGCCAATCCCTGAGCGTGCAGGTCACTGACTGTGGCCCCAGCTCCGCAATCCAGAGAGATCCAGGTGGGGGAGGTATGTAGGGGCCAGCCCTGTGCCCTATGCCCAGCGACCACAGAGGGGGTGACTCTGGGCTTGGAAATGTAATAGATGGCCCCCAGAGCTTCTAGTAGGAGAGGTTTACTGCACACACCATTCCAAAAAGACCCCCATGCCCCACCTCATGGGCCTGGGAACTCTTCCATCAGGGTCTCTCCTTGTTTTCCTGGGAGTACTGTATAAGGTTTGTGGGATCTTGAAAACCAGGCATTTGGGGGGTTCATGTCAGGGCGAGGGGGGCCTGAAGGCTCCCTGCCCACCCAGGATGCAAAGTTTCCCAGAAGGTGGCCCTAACCCCTCCCCCATGGGCGGGGTCTCTGAGGACAGGCAGGCTGAAACTCACTTTGATGGAATAGGAGTGGAAATGACTGAAAATCACCATTTAAAGAATTTTGGGAGGAAGTCTAACTTCCTTGGTGTTTACTGTTATTGTTCATATGTCTTTGGCCTTGTTTTGTGTCACAAACAAACAAACAAAACCCTTTCACAATTAAAGAGAGGGTGGGCCTCGTGCTGCCACCCCACGGAGTCTGGGAGCTGTCCTGCTGGGAAGAGTTATTTCCTTCTTTTTTCCTCCTCCTCCTCCTCCTCCTCCTCCTCCTTCCCTCCTGCTCTTTCATTTCCTCTCCCTCCAGGACAACAGAGGTATTCTAGTAACCTCTGTACAGCCCAGCCGTTCTCCAAGATATCAACTGCTGGTGCTGCCTGCTTCCAACATGTTTGAAACAAACCATCACAGGTCTAAAGGGAAAAGCCAAGGGCTACAGGAACCCAGCAGAGAAACTGAACAAAAAAGCAACAAGATATGCTCTCTGTTCAAGAAAACGCGGGACTTTAGCATGCAGGAAGATTCAACATCTCTGGAGGAAGACCTGTCACCTTGCGGTGGGGACGGAGGGAGCAATGTGCCAAGAACCACAGGCCGTGTTTAGAGATTAGGAAAGCTGGGAAGAGATGGAGACCCAAGAGTGGGAGACAAAAGGAGTCTACAGAGTCTAAGTAGGATGGGGCAGTCCTTATCAAATTAAGCATAGTCTAAAATGTACATTATACCCAAACGGGTAATTTTATGGTTGTACAATTTTTTTTTCCCATTTATGTGTGGAAACATGAATCCACATAGAAAACAGAAGATGAACATTAAAACACATTCTTATACCACAGTTACTGGGGCACCAGCAAATCACCTTGGACTTGGGAGTGTGGGGACGTAAGGGCAGGTGGAAGAGAATCAGCTGGGGAACTTGGTCTTGTAAATAGTCTCCGAGTGAAATTTGCAGTCTGCTCAGTCGACAGCCCTGCCCCAGTTCACGGTTTTAGACCGTGGTTCTGCCGAGGCTGCTGAACTGAACGGCGCTGCCCCACGGGAAGCCTCTCTGACCACATACCCGGTTCTCCAGCTTCTGGATCTGCTTCTTGCCGCCCTTGAGCGCCAGCTGCTCTGCCTCGTCCAGGCGGTGCTGCAGGTCCTTGACCGTCTGCTCCAGGTTCTTCTTCATGCGCTCCAGGTGGGCGCTGGTGTCCTGCTCCTTCTTCAGCTCCTCCGCCATCATGGCCGCCTGGTTAAGGTCACAGACATGTCACTGGGCCACCCTCCCATCCCCACCAGGAGCTGAGGAACGAGGTGGTTAAGGAGGGTCCCGGGCAAGTTGAGCTGCCCTTCCTGACCTGGGCCCATCATCGCTTCCCTCCTTGCCTCAGAGTGACTAACCCCCTCCCATGACAGCCATAAGGACACCAGAG